TCTCCCATCCCCACAGCAACTACTGATTGTCCTCAGCGCCCCCCCCCACCCCCCAGATGCTGTAACACACTGGAAGGAACACAGAGAATCCGCAGTGCCAGACACCTGCCCCCCCTCAGCCACTCTGGCCCCATGACTGGCCAAGAGAATGGGAAAAATAATGCTTGGGAGCCAGAGCTCCTGAGTTCTCTTCCCTGGCTCTGGGAGGGGAATGGGGACTTGGTTGGGCCTGGTAGGGCTGGGAGCCAGAACTCTCCACAGCAGGTCTAGGGGCCCCATATCCCATTAAGCATTCCTTCTCTGTGCAGGTTCCCGCCAGCTGAGCGGAGCCGTGGCGCCAGCGCTGCCCCCCCACCACAGCCATGAGTGAGCTGGATGGAGCAGCTTCGGCAGGAGGCAGAGCAGCTGCGGAACCAGATCCGGGTGTGTGGAGCCCATGGGGGTTGGAGCCCCCAGTGCTGAACCCAGGAGTCCTGGCTGCCAGACTTCTCCCCCATGGGGGTCTTTATGGCTACTGGTTTTTTTGGGGGGGGAGGGTAGTGCTTCCTGCTGTCCACATGGGGGCACTAGGAGTCGACACCCGAGTTCTGTCCCTGGCTCTGGGAGTAGGGTTAAAGCAAGGGGGGTATTGGGCAGTTCAGATTTTAACCCAAGGTCTCCCTCCCCCCCAGGATGCGAGGAAGGCATGTGGTGACTCCACTCTGAGCCAGGTGAGCAGTGTTGGGCCTGTTACTGGCATCCCCATGCAGCCCCTTTCCCCTGCCTCCAGGTTCCCTGGCTGGGTGCGGCTCCATGCCTCACCTGTCCGCCCCTCCCCTAGATCACAGCCGGGATGGACCCTGTGGGACGTATCCAGATGCGGACACGACGCACCCTGCGAGGCCACCTGGCGAAAATCTATGCCATGCACTGGGGCACTGACTCCAGGTGAGAGCTGGGATGAGCGAGCTATATGGGCATCCTTCACCTAGCACTCTGATGTGGCCACCTCTAGGGCAGGGCATCTAGTTATACAGGGACCTCTCTCTCAGGCTGAGATGCAGCCACCTCTGGGGCAGAGCATCTGGTTAGAGAGGGAACCTGGCTCAGTGTTGGTGGCCAGGAGAGGAGGATCATTTTCTCCATTGGCCTGGGGGGGGGGGGGGGGGGGGCCTAGTGGCTGGGAGGGGCAAGGCAGGGGAAGGGCTGATAGCAAATAATGGGAGTATTTTGAGCCACCACCCACAGCGCAGTGCCACTCTGGCTCATCAGAGGGCTCTCTGCCTCTTAGGCTGCTGGTCAGTGCATCGCAGGACGGGAAACTCATCATCTGGGACAGTTACACCACGAACAAGGTGAGGGAGTTGACTGGTGAGGTGGCTGGGAGGGGCAAGGCAGGGGAAGGGCTGATAGCAAATAATGGGAGTATTTTGAGCCACCACCCACAGCGCAGTGCCACTCTGGCTCATCAGAGGGCTCTCTGCCTCTTAGGCTGCTGGTCAGTGCATCGCAGGACGGGAAACTCATCATCTGGGACAGTTACACCACGAACAAGGTGAGGGAGTTGACTGGTGAGATACTGGGGTAAAGGGTCCCAGGAAGGGGGCAGCTGACAGGATACTGGAATAGATGGGCTGAATGGATTTGACAGGGAGGATACCAGGGTAAAGGGCCTCTGGGTGGGGGAGGGGGGAGGAAGCAGGTGTAGATTTAGATGGGTCCCAGGGTAGAGGGGGGAGAGACAGCAGGTGGGATACTGAGGAAGAGAGGTTGGGGGGGTACCCCCAGGATAGCAGGGTAGATGAGCCTGGAAGTGGCAGCAGGCTGGATACTGGCTTAGATGGGCTAGGGAAGGGGACATTTGGCTTCATACCTGGGTAGGTAGAGTAATTTCTCCTTTTCCCCAGGTCCACGCCATCCCACTGCGTTCGTCCTGGGTCATGACTTGCGCTTATGCCCCATCAGGGAACTATGTGGCCTGCGGGGGCCTGGATAACATCTGTTCCATCTACAGCCTGAAAACCCGGGAGGGGAACGTCCGTGTCAGCCGAGAACTGCCAGGGCACACGGGTGAGCCCTCGACTGCTAGGATTTACTCCTCCCTCGGGGAGGGAACAGGGGTCTGGTGGTTACAGCGTGGGGGCTGGGAACCCAGATTCCTGGATATGCGCTCCTGCCAGTACCCCGGCTCCCAGCTAATCAGCATCTTGCTGTCCCCCCCGGAAGGTTACCTCTCCTGCTGCCGCTTCCTCGATGACAATCAAATCATCACCAGCTCCGGGGACACCACCTGGTGAGCCTCGTCCCCTTCTTCAGGCCCCTGTGCTTGGGGGGGGGGGGGGGAGGGGAACTCCCCAGAACCACAGCTTGGGGGGAAAGGATAAGGGAAGGCTGGGTCTGTGGAGGTGCCCAAGGAAGAGGCTGGAGTAGGTGGGGCCAGTGGGTGGGCAAGAGGGTAGGGATGGATTGCAGCTGGCAGTCAGGATCAGTGGGACCGACTATGGAGTCAGCTGGTGGGAATGGGGGCAGAGCCTGTGTGAGGGGCAAAGTAGGTGGTGGGGATGGGGGTGGAACCAACAGAGGGGAAGAGCCAAGGTGGAGCCAGGAGAGGGCATTCCAGCCTGTCTCCCCTCTGCAGTGCACTGTGGGACATCGAGACGGGACAACAGACAACAACATTTGGGGGGCACAGTGGGGATGTGATGAGCCTGTCGCTGGCTCCTGATGCTCGGAGCTTTGTGTCCGGGGCCTGCGATGCCTCCATCAAGCTGTGGGATGTGCGGGACAGCATGTGCCGGCAGACGTTCACTGGGCACGAGTCCGACATCAACGCCGTGTGTGTGAGTGTCCCCTGGGCCCTGCCCTTACCTGTCCCGAACACCAGTGAGCGTATGGCCCTTACACACACGGTCACGTACTCCCCCAGAGCATGGGCCAATCCCTGCAGCACTTACCTCATGGGGCATAACCCCCCTCACAGCATGCAAATGAGCTGCACCTGAACAAAGAAATCCCATCTCGGGAGGCCCTGGGAGCCTGGACTGCTGAGTTCTCCCCAACTTGGGGTGGGGGGCCTGGGAGCCAGGACTCTTGTTTCCTGATGACACCCTCTCCCACCACCCAGTTCTTCCCCAATGGGAATGCCTTTGCCACGGGCTCGGATGACGCTACCTGCCGACTCTTCGACCTGCGAGCTGACCAGGAGCTTATGATGTACTCGCATGACAACATCATCTGTGGCATCACCTCAGTGGCATTTTCCAAGAGTGGGCGCCTCCTGCTGGCTGGCTATGATGACTTCAACTGCAACATCTGGGACGCCATGAAGGGAGACCGCGCAGGTCAGACAGAATGTCTGGGTGCCATCTGGGGAAAAGGGGTGGTTAGAGGAGGAGGGGTTGGGAGCTTGGACTCCTGGGTACTCTTCCCCAGCTGTGGGAGGGGGTTTGTTGGGTCAGACTCCTGGATTCTCTCTGGCCAGTCTCACACTCCTCTCTGCCTGCAGGGGTCCTGGCTGGCCACGACAACCGCGTCAGCTGCTTGGGGGTGACAGACGATGGAATGGCTGTAGCCACTGGCTCCTGGGACAGCTTCCTGAAAATCTGGAACTAGCCCCTCTCTGTGCCATGCCTGTATGACGGGGTGTGTGTGGCTCCTGCTGGCCCTACCCACAGCAGGGAGGGGTCCTGGTTTAGCCTCTCCCCCTTTGGTTTTTGCCCATTTGGTTTTTTTTCTTCTCCTTGGTAAAAAGAAGGAAAAATATCCTGCTGGGGGGAGGGGCCTGTGTCTAGCTCTTACTTTTGAGCTGGGGGTGGGGCAGGCACCGATGGAGGGCTTTTACTCCAGTTTTCCTCCCCCTCCCCATTTCCCCCCAAGTTCCTAAGGCTTTCAGGGGGGAGGGGTTGCTGCGCTACTCTGCTCTGCCCCCAGCTGGGGGGAGGTGCAGTCCAGGGTCTTATATCCCCCCAAACCTGACCTGGGGTGGTGGCCCCCCCGTGGGACACTGAGATAGATGGTCCATGATTGTGGAGCAACTTTGGAGCAGACCCAGATATGTGGGGGTAGAGGAAACAGCCTCCTGCTCCCCAGGAGTCCCTTTCCCCACCAGGGCTCTATCTGGTGGTGGGGAGTTTGTAGCCGGCTCCCGGCACCATGTTAAACCTTAAATGACCAAAACCAACCAGCCTCCCTGTCATTACTTGGCATTGGGGCACCTGGGTTCTCTCCCCAGCTCTGGGAGGGAAGGAGAGAGGGGGGGACCTGGCAGCCAGAACTCCTGGGTTCTCTCCTCAGCTTGGGAGGAGAAAAACTCTTTTTACTGGATCCTGTGTCGTCATCTTCCCCCCCCCCCCCCCCCGGCAACACAGGACCACAGACCCTGCTGCAGGGAGCTCGCAGTGGGATGTACCTCCTGGCCAGACCTGTTGCTTTTATCTTTTAGACCCATTCCTCCCCTCCCCCCCGTGGCAGAAGCCAGTTACTGTGGGATGCACCAACTGGCCACCTGCTCCAGTAACTGACCTTCACCAGATGGTGCTGCCCTGACATCTGCCCCAGGCTGTTTGGGGGTCAGGAACCCCCCACTCTAGCTCCAGGGAGCTGCAGCCACCTCAGGCTGGAAGGCACTGACCTAACCTGGTTCTGCAGGTGCTTCTAGCCCTTCCCTGTTCCCAGGGGTCCCTCCATGGCACTGCAGAGATCCCCCAGCTGTTTGTTTTTGGGGGGGGGGGGGGGGGGGGGGGGAGGCGAGTGCCCCGGTATTGGCAGGAACGGTTAAACAAAGTGTCTGGCTGGCCACACACCAGCCTGGCTAATGATCTCAGGCCACCTGATTTCACAAACAGCCTCCACCAGGTTAGTCCAGCCATGCCCCTGCTGCAGAAACTGCTTCTCCAACCTGCTTGTCAGAAACAGGGCACCTGGCCTGGGGAAGGAGAATCCAGGAGTCCTGGCAGTTAGGTGGCTGCTGAGAGGGGCTGGGCAGGGATCATTTGCCCTCCTCCCACCCCTGGAGAAACTGAGGCAAGGCAGGAAGAGCCCTGGTGCAGGTGAAACAGAGAGCCTGGAGGCCTATGAACTGCTACCTGTCCTGCTGTGGGGTGCTGATCCCACCTTGAGCTAGGGAGCTAAACCCCAGGACTTTGCCATCCCTTTAAGACTCAGTAGACCTGGGGCCAGTACTGCCCCCCTTCCCAGGTGGGGAATAGGTAACCTTGCTCCCTTAAATACAGTGTAAACTTAAACATCCCAGGTGACTGGGGTGAGTCCCCCACTGGCCCCTGCCTTCTGGCAGAGCCAGTTTTTCAACTCGCCTTTGTAGAAACTTTCCCATCTCTCTTCCCCAGGAAGTGGCTGGCA